CCTACACAACTGGAGAGTCAAATACAGACAAAACTGCTGATAAAGTTCTAAAAGAACAAGAAGAAAATGGAAGAATTTACTGATGAGTTTTATACTCTGAAAATGCTCATCTTTGTTTTGATGCTAAATCTAGATCTAGCTCGTATATGTGGAAAAAAAACCCTCCTAAATATGGCTTTAGTTTTCTGCTTCATAGTTACAAGCAGAAGAATAACCATGAATCAATAATGATTCAAGGCCTGTAAACGCTCTTCTGGCTCGATAGCATACTTAATCTCAAGCAGGGGCTGTAGTAAACCACAATTCCCTAGCTGCAATAAATGCTGCTGACTCCAGAGCCAAGCACAAAGTTTAATTAAAAGCAAACTGATATATAAATTTGCTGACGTAATCTCTCACTCTTGCATCTGAAATGTATATATGCGTCTTCCTGGAGACACTGGATGATTTAGACTTCAATTTCACTTAAGAACCTCTCCATTAATGCTATTCAGCAAGTCTCTGTGCACACTTCATAAAGCCTTTCTGTTAACTAGATGCATTGATCTCCCGTTAGTGTATCAGCTGCTGAGTAATTTGACTAATTTAAGACACTTGGTGAAATTTTCCTGTGCTCTAAATAGCCAGACACCTTTGAACTTTTAGAAGGAATTACATTTGGCAATTAATGGGCATTACAGCACTAGTGCAACAGGCTGTGTTTTGACTATCGCTATGCTGCCAGTGTTGGGGAAATGTCCCAGTGATGTTTTAGCACCAGACAGGCTCTACTCATGTTAGCAATGTTTGACAAATTGTTCCATAAACATTAATGAAATGCACTTTCTTGTTGATTTGTGTCCCAAGCCTATCCTAGCACTACACAGCTCAGCCTGAAATCACCCCTCCTTTCTTTCTGTGCATAGTAACTACTTGCTGGATGTGGCCCAGCATGTCCTGAGGGCACTTCAGCGAGAGCTGCAGAAAAGCTGGAGTTGGAAGGCACCGCTGGAGACTATCTGGTCCAACTTCCTGTTGCAAGCAGGGCCTTGGATTAGGTTATTCAGGGCAGCGTCAAGCCAAATCTTGAATATTTCCAGTGGGAGAGGTTCTGCTGCTTCTCTGGGAAGCCTGTCCCAATGTTCAATTGATCTCAGGCTGAAGAAATTTTTTTTTCCAGGAGAAATCCTCCCTAAAGCAACTTGTGCCCATTGCCTCTTGTCCAGTCGCTGTGCATCCTTCTGAGGAGAGTGCCTCCATCTTCTCCGTAACTACCCTTAGGTATTGGAAAACTGAATAGATCCTCCTAAGCCTTCTCTTCTCTAGGCTGAATGAATCCAGTTCCCTTAGTCTTTTTCCATGTGTCTAGTTCTCCAGCCCTCTGATCGTCTTGGAGGCCCTCCACTGGGCCGTCCCCAGTTTTTAATGCATTTCCTGAATGGGGAGGGCCAAAACTGGGCACCCTGTTCCAGATGTGGCCAGACAGGTCCCAGGTAGAGTGGTTACATGGTACGTTGGCTGGCATACTAGCACATATATGCTGATTGAACTGGAAGGCCAGACAAAATACTCTTGAGTTTACACTGAAGCTATTCCTTCAGTGGAAGTACTATTTTGAGTCTTTCACCTAAATCCATAGTTCTGATCTTTCACTGAGCTTCAAAGAGCTCGGAATCTCCCATCTGTCAAATCCGGCTGAAAGTGGTCAAGTTAATGTTTTTGGTGAGAGGGGACTGACAGGCACTGTGCTCAGGAAAGGTCAATTATTTTGGCAACTCAGGTTTAGTCAACCGCTGGTACTAGTGATTATGCTTTAAAGGACTTTTGGGGGGAAAAAATTTCCAAAGCGCACACTTGGCAGTACTGACATTGCTGCTGGCACTGGTAGCAAGGGCAATCATGGGCAATTTCCTTAAAGCTGTCCTTGCAAACACAGTTATAGCACATCTTTGTTATCTGAATATGCTGTTGAGACCTTCCTGTGGCTAAAGCCAGCTCTGATACTGATGATTTGTATGACCTTGGACCAATTTTTTGATGCTGATTTTACTCAACGTGGAAAGGGAAGAGGATGACAACTGTTACTGGACTTGGGAATAATATGAGATTTAGCTGGTTTTGCTTTCTTGGCAGTTTTCCTCAGAAAATAAAGCTATCTGAAAAAAAGTGTACATATCACTAATGAGTTCTGGCATAAAATATATTAAGCAATATCACAGTGGCAAGCAGAAGCTTCTGACACAGTCTGAAATACACAGTTGTAACTAGCTATCATAAACTCATCATTCATATATGCTGGGGACCAGCTCACAGTGCCTGATATTTCTGAGCAAAAGTTAATCTCTTCCTCTCCTATTTTATGTACAGTGATATTTGTTGATTTACGTCCAGATGGCGTTTTGGCTGTTATGCAATGTATCATGTTATTTATGTATTGTTGAAGTGAACTGTGGAATTTCATAACCAAAATCTTTCTCATGGTCTTGAGGGGAGACAGGAATGTGGCTGTTGCCCATGTGCACCCAGCTAGATCAATGAAGATAAATCTTGCATTCATGTAAGTAAAAGCTTATAGAATTAGGGGAAACTCAGTCAGCTATTCTAAGACTGAAAGAAGCAACTGCATTTTGGGTTAAGGGAAGACTTTTTTAGGACTAGAATTTCCATTCATTAGCTGAAGCTCTGTTTACTGCAGTAGAGTTATACAAATCAAAGCAAGAAAAGATATAGTCTACAGTTAAAAGATTTACGTTTAGCTGTGCCTCCAGTTTGTTTTCGTATGGAATAGTAAAACCCCAAATTTGCAGACTAAGAGAATAAAAGATTTCGTCTTGCGGTTCTTGGAATATCTAACACGCAGGTTGGAAATACCAAATGAGGTTCTTCCTTCACCAAGCACAAGCGCACAACTGTGGATTAACTTACTCCTGTTGCAAGGTAGTAATACAAAGATGAAGCCTGGAAGAAAAACTGAATAGTAGTTATTTCATCACAACATTAAAAAATCCAAAGCAAGTTTTACCTTTTTCATCTTTCCAGCTCTCCTGCTGTGAATAGGGTGGCATGAAGCATAAGGCAGGGGAAAATGAGCTCAAATCCTATAATAAAGTATCAAAATATTCAGATCACAGCAATATGCTATAAAATGCAAAAATAAATGGAAATTTTAGGGAGAAAATTCTTCCTGTTTCTTCTTATGTTCCTTTTCTGATTGAACAATAGAGCAACACACTGAAGTTGCACTTGTATGTATTTATTTTTAAGTTTGCCTTATCTAATCACATACAAGGAGTTCCTGAAAAAGAGAATGAAGTCCGGATATGACCTAAGAATTGAGTTTTGTAATTAATACCCTGAAATATGTGCAGCTGATGCTAAAACACTCAAGTGGGAAAAAGTAATGCGAGCCAAGTTAAGGTGGAAAGCCAATAGCCTGACGCTTGTCCCCCTTCTCCTGAAGGGAGAGATTTTGGGGAATCCTGAAAAAGAAAAATAAAAGCAGGAGGAAGGGAGGGCCTAAGGAACGACTCAATGGGAAGCAAAAATGCACCTGAGATTGCATATGTGCAACATGATGAAGTTGGAAGAGTAATTTGAGGAGTGAGGAGGATGGCAAGAGGAACCTGCAGTGGAAGAATTGGGCTTGGTCAGCAGGCAGAAACCTGATGCTGCGGAGACTCTGAAGCTGAGCCTGGTCGATCCAGTTTGAGTTTTTCAGAATGTGAATTCCTCCCAGTCAACAGGGCATTGTCCACAATGAACTAAGTATATGTTAGTGGTCTGTTTTTCACTTCTGGCTCTAGTGTTGTACTATAGAAGCCTAAAATAACTATGTTAGAATAGGTGTGGAAACTAAAAGTTTGTCTGAAACAGTATTTGAGCTCTCAGGTGTGTGAGATTCTACAACCAAGTGAGAAGCAGAAGGATATCCTGCAATTTAATATTCAACAGCTGTTGAAACTTTTAAAGTCCCTAATGTGTAAGAGGCAGTCAAGGAAAAAGGAGTCAGGGGAGAAGAAATTTTAGAAGCACTGTTACTAAATTGCAGGTGTAAATGTCCCCTGAAAATTGAAGTAAATATGAGTGAACGAGCAAAGACAGAGAACTCAGAACTATGGAAAAAGAAAAAGAAAATTTTTCAACAATGTCAAAATTGTTGAAGTGTGTGTTAAAGATGGTAGGAATGAAAAATGGAATACTGGATTAATATAGCATATCAAATTGAAATAAACTGTACATTCAGATACATCGCAACTATAAAGCACGGATTTCAGCTTCCAAACCTTGGGAACCTGGGTTATAGCTTCATCTGTGAGTCTTAGCCGAGATTCTGAGGTGCGCATGAAGTTCGCTAGTAAAAGAAGAAACTGAGACACTGAAATACTAGATTTTATTTGAGAAAGTAAAAAAAAAAAAAGTAGGAATTGTAAAGAAGTAGTAGAAATTATAAAGAAAAGCACTGCAACTTTAGTTACCATGCATTACATACCTAAAATATGAATCTGTCTTAATATCTTATTTCCTCATTTCATACTTGTTTAGCATGTTTTCCATTTACAATAGTGCCTTTGTATAAAGTTTTTCAGCTCTTCTGCAGCAAGTGTTACTGACTTAATATAAAGCTGCTCTTTGAAAGAAGAGCTACTTTCCCTTTTGGCAGTTCTAAATATTTCTGTTTCAACTTTATGCTCCTTTCCCCTCAAGATCTGAGTTGCAGAGCTGCTTACTTCAGTCCCTGACGGAGGCCTATTTGTATTGGCTTTGATGTAAGCAGTAAGCTTCTTGGTTTAATTTTAACTTTTCAAGGCAAGAGTTTATTCACAAATGAATTACACAGCATGAAATCTTAAAAGCTTTGGTTAGATGCTCGTGGAAAAAATGCATAATGAGTTTGCTTGGGAAAAAATGTTACAAAACCGATGTTCTCCTAGACAAAAAAAAGACAATGCACTTTGATGGAGAAAAAAGAGAACAGGCAAGATGGAAAAGGCA